CTTACATACATGTTTGATTTCTGTCTCTAGTTGTTATAAAATTCATGAGCAGCAGCCAGAAATGTCTTCTGATTTGGTGCTTTGATCCTGATAATATTGTTTTACCTAGGAGCTATGTTCTCTGGAAACAGAAGTTGTTAAGAAACGACTCCACTCTTTGGTGTTTTGGGAAAGCCTGGATATAAAGAACCACCCTTTCCATAGATTCAAGGATGACTCTTTGTTTACCTATGGCAAGGCCAGGCACAGAGCCTTCAAACTCTCATTCTTTGTCTCGTAATGATTAGCTGAACGGTTTGTCCCCATTGAACAATCTGGACAAAACCCAAAAAACGTTCCCTGGATCAACTATCTGATCAGCCTAATTGCTCATTCTGCTTCTCCACCACAAGTTCCTCTAGTCTTGTTCCATGTGGGTTTGATTACAGGCCAGTACCCTTCACAACCAGCCACTACCATCTGTCAGCAGATACTCACGTTTCTAAGACTTTATGTTACTGACCCAGTTTCTGTGGAGCTTCTAGACTAAGAAAGACTGGGGGTGGAGTGGGGGGAGCGCTAGAGCTCTACCTTTGAAAATCAACTGACGAAAACCCTATGGATCTCAATGGTCCAACCTACACCAGGTCATCACGAGGAAGGCACAACACTGGATTTGTTTCTTGCGCCAGTGTGTGTAGCGTCACCACGAGTAGGTAGCCAACAAAGACAGTGACAACAATAACATCAAGGTATTTTCTGCTAGTATTTGAGAGTCTTATAGAGCACAATTCCCTATTGCAGTAGTTCTCCTCCTCCAATTACCAAAGTCTTTTCAAATGAACTGTCACTTGACCCTTGGCTGAATTTGATTTTTAGTTGATAATACCAACCTTCAGTGTTTCCTGGAGTTTGCAGAATTCGCTTTCCAAAATGCAAAACCGTTGTTTTAAACTGTGAAGCTCTTGGTGGTAGACACGGGATGGAAAGAGGGTATTTTTCAAGACTTCTAAACTCTGAAATTCAATAACAGAAGAGCCTGAACTCTATGAATATGATGAAGCCAAAAATAAAAGGGGAGAGTTGTTAAGAAAGTAAGAAAGTGGTTTGCTGTACATTATATAGACATGATTCCATAATTTCATTTTATTTGAACTAGGTTTGAGTGTTTTGCTGACCTAAACGTGCATACATGTGAACACACACACAAAGCATGTAGAAAACTATTGCTGAAAGCAGGTGGGTCAAACCCATACCTGGGCTATGCAGCTCTGGCACCAGCTATACATAGACCACACTCTACTTGTCCAAAGTTTTACTGCATCTTTAATATTGGGAAATTTGAAGTTATAGGTTGATCTGAGCCAGTGTCTGCTATCAGGTTTAATTGTTGGAAGACGAACCACTCTGTAGGAAAAAGAAAATCAAATGAAACAAATAACAAACTTCTAAATTAGAATAATAGCCTCTAAATTAAACAAATTCTTCATGGAATTCAGGGATTTATTCACTTAACAAACACGAGAGTTTCACAGTAACCATAATAGACAACAATTGTGCCCTCGTGAAGTTTACAGTCTCATGCGGGAAGATAGGTAAGGAAACAATGAGATACGTGGTAGGTTAGATAGTAAATAAATGCTGAGAAAAAAAGAGGAAGGGGAAATGCTAAGTGACATGGCATTTTAGGCAGGGTAGCTAGGAAAAGGTCTCATTAAGAAGGTGATTTTTTAGGAGGAAAAATTCCTAAAGAAGTAGGAAGCTAGCAATGCAAATACCTGAAGGACAAGTATTTGAGGTAGAGGAGACAGTGAGTGCAAAGTTCCTAAGGTGGAAGAGAAACCAGGTTTTGAGGAACAGGAAGAGGGCCAAGGTGTCTAGCGTATACAGACTGAAGGGGAGGGATTAGAAATGAGATGAATGTGGCCAGAAAATTCGTTTATTATTATTATTTTTAAATTAAGACAAAAAACTTTCCATTGTGATTTAAGTGAAAACTTATAGAGCAGTCATGAGTTCTATAGTCATCAACTTATATACAATTTATACACATTTTGTTTCAACTAATTCATTTTAACCCCCTCCAGGGACCATCACTCACCCAGCCCCTCTCAGTGGTTCCTGCTTCCAGTCCTCCTTCTGTACCTAGCCAGCTCTCCTGGGGTGAATGCTGCCCTTTTGATCTCAAAAGGCTGATCATTGGAACACAGTCAGTTCAGTTCCAGACTGGAAGGGTGACTA